CCTACCACGTTTGTACGATACACACAGCACAAGGAGATACAAATGGAGCACGAGTTAATTAACTGAATACGAGAAGCTGCTTGATAAGAGTGGATCATAAGATTACACAGGCACTAGCTTGTTTGCAGTTAACCATTCAAATGTTTGGTGTTGTATGGATTATTTATGTAAAAACGAAACCCCGCAGAATTCGAGGTTATGAGAACAGGTGGACATTTCAAAAGTACGTTGCGCTGTCAAGGAATCTTGTTGAATTTACCGTTTATTATTGTCTATCTTATTGTCACTCTGTATAATTCCATGGTTACCAGAGTTTTTAATAACTAAACTGACATAAGCATTTTTCCTTTCAACGGGAGAAGTATGTTAAGATTTATCGGACATTTATTTGTTCGAGTTGGTAACCGAATTTGAGATTATAATTTATTCTATTTTATATATAGTTGCGCTATCTATCTAAAAACACGTTATACTTCTCTGGAACTACTTTGTAGTGGGCAGTGACGTGACATGCGGGAAGTACCGGAACGAGACGGCATAGTGCGACAGATATTTTTTTGAGAGTTGTAATCAGTAATCAATCAATAGCACGTAAGGATTTTCCACTTATAATAAATCTATTAGAACAAAAGTGGGGATCCTTCAAGCCTCAACTCATCCAATTATTCTAATCAGCCACCAAACACCTAAGGAATGTAAAATAAAACCTATTTTATATCAAAATAAATCACAAATATAAAGAAAAAGGTGAATTTTCAAGGAATTCCGAACATTTAGCGTTGCGATTAGCATTAGAAGTGTGAAAGTAAATCATATCGATGTACTACGAGCATTAAGTGTGAAGTCATTGTAGTTGGTCCCTTTGTCTCGACCTAAAAATGTTATTTGTTAATTTTAAATTTTTAATCCATGACAATCTGTAACCCAGCAATATGACTCAAGTTTAAAAATATTGTAGCAGTACAATTCTGGAGGGTTCCCATACTTCTACTATGACAAACAATGAGCAGTACCATGTATACGTCCCTTAAGTTTTGTACCCGATTTACTTCAGAGCTCATGTTTGATGAAATTTCAATAACTCTTTCAGCCCTGAAGAAGGCGACAATAAATCGCCGAAAGCTTGATAGCTAAAAACGTTTTTCTTTTTTTATAGCCGAGCTGTTGATCGAAGTAAAATACCAGTAGCACCAAAGAACATATTTAACCAATTAAAATTATTTTCAGAATTTCGTAATTCACAAAATCAAATTTATTCCTCCTATTAGTAAAAAAAACTATTGCATTTAGCATACTGTAAATATAATACTTAAAAGATAAATGTTTCAAATTCCGAATGTGTTATGTTACGGCACAATGAACTTATTTATAGGAATGACTTCCATGGCTTCGAATTAAAACAGAAATATATTTTTTAAAGAAAGGTGTACTTACCCTACTTGCAAAACATCACTGATTGGTATATTCATTCGCATACAACCTGGAACCAACGACACTTAAGTTCACCAAACTGGCATAAGTATGAAACAACAGTAGAAAATAAAAATTTACGCACTACACATGCCGCTGCTAAATTTACTACGGTTGTGCGCTGGACTCGCGCCAATACATTTTCCACTATTTTCCTAAATTTTAGATTAGCGCGATTTTGCAAAAGCGCCCGGCACATTTTGCACTTTCAGGGAGAGGGAACAGAAAAACATCAACATTGGGAGGGTTATTTAACCCAATCTATAATATATCTATTTTGATATACAGTGTGCCCATAAAAAAAGGAGTAAACTCTAAGAAAGAGAATTTTATTTTACCAAAATACTCGAATAAGTGTTTATAAGTTTTATAAACCGACATTAAGGGTGAAAAGGTAGAGACTCAATGGTGAGAACTACGCAACATGGAGTTATAAACTGCAACTCCTGTTGATGAAGAAGAGAAACTGATAAGTCATCAGGCATCCCGTGCATGCACCAGTAGACTCCGAATGACGAAGCAGCTCAAGCTACTTTTGGCCTACTAGTGGAAGACAACCAACTCAGACTGATAAGTAACGCTAAGTCGGCAAAAGAGCAGTGGGACATTCTCAAGCAATATTACCAAACCGCCACTCTATCAACTAAGATGGCACTGAACAGACGTTTTCTCCGTACAGTGCTTCCAGATAATGGTTTGTTGAGAAAGTGCCGAGGAAAGTCAGCAACGACAGGGAACTGTTACAGGACTATCAAGGGTAGGAAAGTTGCTTATTTGGGGCATATATTGAGAGGTGATCGATATCGTATTTTACAACTCACCCTCAAGGGAAAAATAGGAGGTCGACGGGGTGTAGGCCGAAAACAGATGTCTTGGCTAAGTAACATCCGAGCCTGAACAGACATACGAAAAGCAGGTCAACTTTTCCACATGGCAGCAGAACGACAGGTCTTTGCTATAATAATCGCCAACGTCGGATAACACCGATATGGTACATAAAGAAAAAGAAGAAGGCTATGAAATTTTCAGAAAGCCCAACCATACTGACCACTTAATTACTTACTAAAGACATAAAGACCACTTAATTCGTGCTAATTACCCAGCCCAACACAAAATAGCTACCGTTAGATGGTACATAGGCTTCTGCGGGTCCAGTTATCTTTCAAAAATTGTAATAAGGAGTTGGATATGCTCAGGTTCTTTGCCGCCAGGAACATCTATCCACTCTCCACGATGGATTCCTTACTCTCTATGGCCAGGACAAACCTGAGAAATGTCGAATCTTCGGGTAGGCTCCTCGACCCTGCTCCTGATCTTATTATTTAATGCCATATTTCACAAAAGGCGGCTATGCTTGCCAAGGGTCTTGAACATGTGAATATCGCATTCAGGTCTGATAACAGCCTGGGGCGTGTTTTGTGCCGTAATATAGACGCCAGTAACCAGCTAGATTATTAGATAGCATTAGTTCTGGCATCTGCATACCTGCCACACGACCAAATAGGACAACCGCCTCCAAGTGATTTACGCAATTTTGTGGAGCACTGAAAGGCGTCTAAGACCAGAACTGTCATTGGGTGTGACGCAAACGCGCACCACATTTTGTGGGGCAGCAGTGACACCAATAGGCGGGGCGAGTCTCT